GCTGAGTAGTCCTGACCAGCAAGAGACAGCAGGACAAGACATGGATGTAGAAAAAGAGAAAGAGGAAGTAAGCAGCCTTTTTACCTGCCCAGGAGATGGGTGTATTCGGACATTCCAGTGGTCCTCAACTTTGCAAGCACATTTAGACGAAGGAAAGCACAAGCGCGCGCTAGAAAAAGAAACACTGTTTGACAAAGCCAGAAAAGGATACGCTGCGAGAATAACTGGAGAGCAAACGAAAGGTCCAACTTTTGGTTTCTACGCGGCATCAAAAATCTCAGTTGATAAACTACACTCCACACTTGAGATGGGATGGGCTCTTAAAACAACAAGGAGTAGAACCCATTTTACAGAAGAACAAAGAAAGTTCCTCACAGAACAGTTTCTCATCGGGGAGGAGTGTGGTAAAAAGGCAGATCCACAACAGGTATCGCAAGAAATGCGAAGAGTGAGGGACGAAAAGGCTGCTCGTATTTTCAGTGGAAAGGATATTCTTTCGCCACAGCAGGTGGCAGGATTCTTCTCAAGACTGGAAGCAAGGATTCGAAAAACGTCAGCAACATCGAACGAAGAAAGTGGAAGTGAAGACGAAGAGCAGTGTGCAGTCGAGGCAGAGGCCTTACATTTGCACCTAAGGGAAGTTGTCAGCGAAGAAATTGCTTTACGTCACCCCATTGTCGCCCTTTCCCGTAACATTTGCAGTTTGGTTCATACAAAGAAATTATCTACCTTAACAGTTGCAGTGCTAAGGGACATTTGTGAAGATATTGGCTTAAACGTGGATGACATCACGGAGAAACGAAAAAAGCCACTTATAAGTCGTATTACTCAGGTCGTTAAGGAGTGCTCTTGTGCTCGAGTGTAATCGACTAGAACAATCGGGCTGAGAAATTGTAAGCTTGTATCCTGTTATAACACCAACCTTGTTCCCAGGGTTCTCTCCTACCCGGTAGGAGAGAACCCTGGGAACGAGCTTGTTATAATATGTGATTATAACTTAAGTTTTCAGGGAACACGGGTCAGGCAAAATGCAATGCCCTAATGCATCAATCAATTTCAGCTGCACCTAGTCCCCCCCCCCTGCGGGCCACTGTGGGATATTTTCCCCCTTGTCGGTCCCGGGGGTAGGGCATTAGCAAATTTTGCCTTGCCCGGAGGTCGGCCATTGGCCCACCACGGACCACCCCGGAGGTCAGCCCGCGGGGACTGTACGCAGCTGCAAATGATGCATAAGTTCACAGCTTAGATAAAGAGACTGTACTTTTAATGCCCACTTGTTTAACCAGAATTTCCTTGCTTCTGAACAATGAACAACAAGAACAAATACAAGATAAGGCAAAGAATTGCGAACCAATTTTGTTTTTCAGCAGAGGCTTTGTACATATTAGCAGATTGCGTGGTTTTTGACCAGCCAAAAAAACTGATAGCAGCTCTAGTGACGAAAAAGAAGTTAGTTACCCTAACTTTTTCTTTTAACGAAGGATTGATATGTGAAAATCAGTAGATTTTCAAAGGCATGCCTTTTCTCCGTCATTTCTAAAAAAACGATGGTATTAGTTTCGGTTTGATATTTCTAGATATATGTGTGATTATAGTTAAAGTTGAGATCATTTCATTTACCCACATAAATTTAATTTAAAAATTGCAGCCTCTGATTTAGACCGTTTTAGTGAAGGATTCACTTTGTTAAGTCGGGAAAGTTTCTTAAAATGCCGAAAAGGAGTTTAAGGAGAATTTCATTTCCGGTTCACTTGTCATACATATTGCGTGACAAACGGAATATTGTTATACGAGATGCGGGATGGAGAGTTAAAAGTGCCCATGGAATGAGACTTATCAAAACTAAAATTGAAACGGATGAGTATTGAAAGCTCAAGCGAAGGGTACACAAGTGAGACTCAGTGAAGCGCGTCAAAGTCCAAACGTTGCCCGAGTCACAGCACGGAGTCACTTTTAGTCGTTGCAGACTACGATTGTAGACACGCCGAAGTATGATGCGTTTCTTGCTGCTTTTTCTTGACATTGGACTTGATTACAGGTAAATTTGGTTGATCTTAAAGCTTATGGGAGATTCTTTAGTCAAAAGAAGTGAAAAAATATGTACTGTTTGATGCCGTAGTGGTGACTTCCGTTTCGCCGTTTCGGTAATGTAAGACATTCCAAGATGGCGGAAGGCGGAATTGTGCTCACTTTAAGAAGTATTTGTCAAAAAAGTACAAAAGATCCCAAACATATAAGATTGTAGATAGTTAAACTATCCTTTTAAAGAATACCAAAAGGTTTTCTGGTGTGATTCCTTGCATACCATGGGCATTTCTGACGTTGTTTTGACCAGCTATTGCACCAAATTCGAGAAGGATGTTGGTGTGCTTCTTTAAAAAATCATATTTTTTGTGAGCAGCGTTAGCGAGCTTTTTGGGAATCAGTGTACTGAAATAGCTTTAGATTAACTGGATATCCGTGAAGACACCTTAAAACAATGGACTAAATGACTCAATAACTTCGTGAAAGTTGGCAATTTTCAAAGGTTATTACGACGAAAAATACTGTTTACAGTTATATTCAAATTTCTTTGAAACGAAACAATATTTTGCCAAATAAACCTTGATTTCATATGTATAGTAACCTGGGCCTACCAATGTACAAATAATAGGCGAAATCAAATTTTGAGCTCTGTCCGCCCGATCTTTGATCCTTACTGACATCAACTCTTAAAAGTTTCAGGATTTTGCCCCCTCTGCCTCAAAGATGTAGAAAGGATGGCGTATATCATTAATGTCAAGGGTGGAGGGGCAGCATTGCATAGTGTTAATCTCTCAGAAGGGCTCCTTCTTTTGGAAAGGACATGTCTGCACTCAGGTTTATCCCAACTTGGAAGCAGTTCTATAATAACAAATTAAATGCTTGAAAGTGATTCAAGAAGTGAAAGTCTTATTATTATTTATTATTACTATGATAATGGCTGAGTTTTTAACCCTCAGTTATCAATGTGTTTTCCATGTTAATTTTGTTTTGCTTTCTTTCTTTGGTTTCCATTTTAGAAATCCTCTGACACACCAATATTGTTAAATCTCAATCAAATGAAGGCTGCCAAAAAAGTGATCTTTGGAGTTTGTAAAGAATACATGAATGTGAAAAAGGTGCCAACTCCTTTACAAGATTATCAGGTGGATTTGTATCCTGTTTTGGAGCTGATTGTTTGTGAGCAAAGGCTGCATAAGGTGTGCTCACCAACTCTCAAACTTCTGATCAAGATAGATGGAAGACCCTTTTATGGTAAATACAGACTGTCAGGTTTAAGTGTGTTGTCATAAATTATAAAACAATACCTTATCTCAGATTAAATGTGTGGCTGTGCATAATTTTTGGTCCCATGTGAATGGAATGGAATGAAATGTGAATGAAATAATAACTATTTCCATTATTATTTTTTTATGATCAGGTAGAAATCAGGTGTCACGCTTGGAAATTTTGACCTCAAATTGGGCCAAGGAAATGTCCACTAGATTCCAGTCCTTTTAAGGCCAAATTTCGCTCGGCCATTTTCATGGCGACTCAGAGGGACCCGGGGAGTCATCTATTTTGCCTGTTTGCGGGAGACTTGTAATGAAAACAAACGTTTGGTGCTAAAAAATAAAATCTATTCCTTTCAAGCTTTAGTTTGATATCTGATTCATCGACTTTGTCCATATTTCTTGATTTTTGCATTCGTAGTGAACACAGGGCTCCAAAGAACGATCGCAGTTACAAATATAAGTCTTCAGTCGACTTCAAAAACGGAGGTAAATAATGTTAAAGCACTCATTTTGCTCAAAAAGGAAACGGTAGAACCACAGAAGAGATATTGATCGTTTATAATTTCGAGTTGAGCGGTCATAATTTTGCTTTTTATATGTGTAAAATTTGTAACAAAAATACTCAATTTTAATTGAAAGGAAATAGCCTGTGGCCCATGACCCGGGCGATCGGGCAATGGGAAGTAAGAAGAGAAGAACCCCTCGGAGATCGCTTGCATTTTCGCAGAAGAAACGATTCCTGTAGCTGAACTAGCTAGAGAAAGGGCTACCCTTCGAAAAGAGTATCTGTCAAAGAGTAAAGAGCTCTCTGCTCTGAGAAAAAGTTAGAGCGCCTAAAAAAATGGCGAGAAAATACGAGAATGTGTGGATCAGCTTGAGCTTGAGGTGACCCCGCCAACTCAAAGCCGTGCGACAGCATTTGAAATCTTGCAAAACACTTCTACAAGTAGGAAAAAAAGCCCAACTGAACTCACTGGAGAGGGTAAATTAAATTTACCGAGGACGAAGTGCCCAATGAAGGCAATTAGAGACCCTGATTGCTGCTTCAGAGGTGAACGGAGGTTCCGTGGAAGATAGAACTCCTGCTCTTGATGGAATGTTTTCCACTGTTCTCAAATATGGCAAAATGGCTGATATTTCTAAATATTTCGATTCTTCTAAAAAAGCTTAAAAGGGCAGCTGCGATGAAAATAAATGCTCAAGCGAAGGAGTACGAGGAAAGCAATGAAAATTTCATCCGTTCCTTATCTCTACTGTATGCAGGGGGGATCATTGGAAAAGTAAAATACCAGCAGGGGAGATCAGCAATGGTTATGAGACATACTGGGAAAAGAACCATGAAAGGTTATCTTTCAAGGGAGAGAATCAAATTTGGCTTTTGAGTTCCCATTCCAAGGCCACTTGCTTACAGTGCTCTCATGCACAAAATTGAAGAAATCAATGTTGGAGAGACCTTGTCAGTGAGAGAAACACTGTGCACTACCTTACCCAGGGATCAACGAGTTGATGGGGTCTACAGAGACTTAGAGACAATGCTAATTATGCTTAGTCAATTTTACTTTGAAACAAATGAATTTAGAAAGGACAATGACAAACTTAATTGGTTTGGTCACAAAGAAGGATCCTTTAAAGTGGCAATTGGGGGGGATGGAGCACCCTTTGGGAAGTGGGATGACTCAATGTCCTGGTTGGTGAGTTTCTTAAATGTTGGGCCAAGAGTGGCTAGCCCAAATGACAATTTTTCTTTTATTTGGTGCCAACTGCAAAGAAGACCACCCATGTGTAGAGCAATTTACTCTGCAATTAACCTCCAAGATTGAAGCAATTGAGAAGAAAACATATACAGTGTCAGAGAAGCAAGTAACCTTCACTTTTGAACTGGTTCCCTCAGACATGAAATTTCTGGCTTTCCTTAATGGGGAACTTAACAATGCTGCCACTTATTTTTCCAGCTTTGCAAATGTATCAAAAGAGGACTGTGTTACACTGAATGGAAAATTTGGGCTAATGAATGATTGCAAGTGGAAACCATGGCCATACAAAGATAGATTAAACATTGCCAAACAGGTAGAAAGTTTTTAAGGCAAAGCTTCCCTCCAGCCTTGCAGCCTCAACAAAAAAAGAACAAAAATCACCAAATTTATTGCCAGTAATAAATCAAGGCAGGAATTTCAGCCACTGATTGGAAAGTTGTGTGATAAAGAGGTTGTAGAGCCCCTTCACCTTAAAAAAAACAATGGGGTACAGCATTTACACACAATGCTATTAAACCTAGCAATTTCTTCAAGTAACCTCCCACAGAAGATCTCCAGCCTATCAGACCTATCCCCAGCATGTGTAATGTCAAGGTACATGAAGGCACTAGAGTGTGATGTAAAAGCTGGACGTTTGAAAAAGCAGCTAGGAAAGTGGATGCTGGAAGATAGGTCTAAGGACAAAGACTTTTCTTACAGACTGACTGGAAAGGACTCAAGACTTATTTTGCATGGGTTTATGTACCTTGTGAATGCCATCAGGGGGGATTCAGATGATCCCAAATTGCTTATGAAACTTTTGTTCATTGTTTTCATTGCAATGAAGCTCAGAGATTGTGCCTCCATTTTTTCAATGTACCACATTACTCAGCCAGCCATTGATGAACTCAAGGTCTTAGCTCGGGATTACTTCACAGCAGTCACACTCTTCACAGGCACTGTATCAGGGACAGTTTGGAGCATTGGACATTTGGTCCCAGTTCACACCCAGTGGGTATTTGAGAAATATGAAACTGGATTAGGAGTGAACACCATGCAAGGGAGGGAAGCCAAGCATGTTCAAATTGCCAGCTATGCAAGAAACAGCCTTTATAAAGACCGCTGGAATCAGGTATTCAGGCATGATTACATCAGTAAACTTTGGCTCCCTCTCCGCCAGCCATCTCTCTTGACATATCATCAATCAAGAGACAGCCTTGTACCAGAATGTACCACTGCATCCAATCAATACTGGAAAAACAAACTGCTCCTGTTTCAATGCTGAATGATGCCAAATGCATTCCAGTACCCGTAATGGAAATTAAATTGTAAAATTTCCTCTTTAAACTTGTATCTCATAATTCCATTCTTCCTGTCGTCAACAATAAGTTTTACCACCCCTTTTCCAGCTCCTAGCTCCTTTGTAAATGCTTCGCAGTCCTCAAATTTATTGAACAAAGCACACAGTCTTCTCATATTTGTGAATGTTATTGTCACTGAACGGGTTTCTCCGAAACATCTACACCATAACTTGTGCGATTTACGATCCCTTTGTTTAATAGACTGAACACTTCCTGCGGCATCGGAACATCGAAACAGATCACCCAAGGATGGATTTTACTCATCCGTGGAGTAAGGCGTGTATTAATTCCATTCTTAGCTATTATCATTGTTCGTTCCAACATTGGATATACATGACTGATTTCATGCTCGTGTCGATAGCGAAGGGGACCATATTTTCCTTTCACAACAGCTTCGGCCAGTTTCTCTAGTGCGTTAAATGTCTCATCTAGATCTTTCAACTTGTGAACATTTGAAATCTGGCGTTCGATTTCTGCCGCTTTAATGCTCCTTTGATCCCATTAAAAAGTTCTTCTTGGTCAGGCTCACTTTGGGACGCCATTTTGATTTGTTTGTGTACATGGGCCCAGATCTGCGCGGCCGAAAGAGTTTGGCCCAATTTGAGGTCAAAATTTCCAAGCGTGTGTTGGTAGGTCTGGTTGCCCGTCTGGTTGTCCGTCTTAACTCTGTGTTCAGCATACAAAGTGCAAAGTCTGTTTACCCACTGGCCATGGCCAATTGTAAAGAAAACAGGTTCATCATTAATTTCAATTATTCTATGTCACCAAAATGCTTTTTCTCCTTTGCTTGGCATGGTTACGAACTGTTTACCACCCACAGTATAGACACTTTCCCATTTACACTTTCCTTACTGAAAGCCTGTAGTTTTGTAGACTATATGTGACAGTTTTCATTGTTATAATGTTGGCTTTCCAGTGGCTCCAAGATCTGACAAATGTAACAAACACATGCACAACAAAAAAAATACCCACACACAATTAAACAGAAAGAAAAAAAAACTACAAACCCTTTTCCAATATAAGAACCTTACCCCAAAACAAGCTCAATAAACAACGAGTTTCATTGGTTGTCTTTATGCCTAATGTTATTTTGATAGGGAAAGCCCAAAGGTACTTTTAAAGGATGTGAATGAACAAAAGAGAACCATCAAGAACCAAGGAATTTTTGTTGATGGCATCAAGGTCAATATAGAATTTGATGGTAAGAAGTTTCTGCTAGTTTATTGTATGACGGTTGTTTGCAAGAACAACCCTGATCTGTTTTAAGCAGGGGGAAGCTGACTTTCTTTTTTGAAACGAGGTTTTTTTTTTCCCCCCATTTTCAGTGCAGCTGACCAATATTTTAAACAGTAACTTATTTTCCCACATGTACGTCATCGGAATTCTTTATTACTGTTGTTTTTTTGTCATAGCTTAGTTTCATTGGACTACAAAACACTGATTCTTCTTTTGGTTAAGAAAGAGGATCTTGATTTTCAACTTGGTGGTTGAGGGGAAGATGTGGAATTTTGCTTTATATGCAATGCAATCAGGGTTAGCTAGCTGACATTGTACCGCTACCCAAACAGAAGCCTGTTGAAGACCTAAGTAAGCATCTGTGGCCCATTTCCCTGACCCCCACCATCTCAAAACTCGCGGAAGACTTTGTTGTAGCCACTCATGTTGGTCCCGCAGTACTCAAGAAGATCGACTATGATCAGTATGGCAGCATCCCCGAATCCTCCACCTCATTCACCCTGATCTCAATGTTTCACCACTGGTCACAGGCTACTGATGGGACAGGGGCAGCCGTCAGGGTCGTGCTATTTGACTATCGAAAGGCATTTGATCTCATTGATCATACGATACTCGTTGCCAAGATCAATGGTCTTGACATGCCACGCAGCATCAAAGCTTGGGTGACCGACTTCCTGATAAACCAGCAACAACGGGAAAAACTGTCGGCAGACTGTTTCTCTGAGTGGGGCCCAGTCCCGGCCGGGGTCCCACAGGGAACCAAACTTGGACCATGGCTCTTTCTGCTCATGATCTCAAAGTTGACGCCCCAACGTGGAAATACATAGATGATACTACCATCTCTCAAACCATACCCCGTGGCTCCCTGGGTGACGTACAACGCGTCGTTACTGTGGTGGACACCTGGTCCCAATCCCAGTTGATGCAACTCAACGCTGACAAGTGCAAAGAGTTAATTATTGACTTTAAAGAAAATCCTCATAACTTTTCTCCACTTGTAGTAGATAACAAAGCCCTTCCCGTCATCGATTGCGCCAAAATCCTACGTGTTACCATGTCTAGTGATCTCAAATGGAACAATCACCTCGTAGATTGCATTAAGAAGGCAAACAAGCGGATATATTTCATTGTTCTCCTGAAAAGGGCTCGTGTACCTTGTAATGACATTGTTGATTTCTACTGAACAACAATTAGATCTGTTCTAGAATATTGCGCTCCCCTCTTCCATCATGCGCTTCCTGCTTACCTCAGTGAGGATATAGAGAGAATACAGAAAAGAGTTCTTTCCATAATTCTCCCAGATATGTCATATCAGGACTGCTTGGACAGACTAGGCCTGCCAACGTTAAAAGAGAGACGCAATGAACTATGTAAATGACTCTTTGATTCAATTGCCAACAACTCGGGGCATAAACTACACAACTTACTACCTCCAAGAAATGAACAAAGCTACTGCCTGCGACAACAGAGAACATATAATCTACCACGCTCGCGCACAGACCGCTTTAGACAGTCCTTTGTGTATGCAATGTCCAAAGATGCCTAGCAACAAACAACGCGTAGTACTTAGCCAGTAACTATACATATTTTAATCCCATTAGATACTTATATTTTTATATCATGTGCATGTTTGTGATTAGCTTTAACATTTACCTATTGATATATTTCTCTGTGAAATACGCAATTCAGTCTAATACTGCGATGTATTTGTGAATAAACAGTCTATCTATCTATCTATCTAGTATTTGTGTCGGTGTACATGTGGATGTACAATAATTTTATTAGTTGTTAAAGTTCATCAGTTGCAATACACAAGCTGCAGTCTTTTCTAGCAATGCAACCACAAAAATTTTGTATGATAATATTAATTTAATTTGAGGTAATTCCATTCCCCATTAGGGTTGCAAGTGTCATGATGTGACCTCTGATGAAACCTGCCCAGAATGCCTACAAAGCAAGTGTGACATAGGCAGGTATATATTTAGTATAGCCTTTCACGATCATTACTTGATGCACAGGCTTACCTAGGAAGTGCTTGGGGCCTTTTGGGTATCAGAGTTGACACATTGGTGAGAGCAGCCACCTTCCACCAGTCTGGATCTGTTCTCAGACAAAGCACAATATGATTTGTTGGCTCTCTAATCTCCTCTTAGAGGTTTTTTCCAGGCACTCTAGTTTTCCCCTCTAATGAAAAACCAACATTTGACTTCATTGATTTTGGGTTGTCTCTTTCTGTTTCCACAATAATTATTAGTCAAGAGCACCTGTGCTTGGCTAAATACCCTTGAGACTTCAATAAAGTAATCATTATCATTTATAATTATATTGTTTCTTGAATATTAAGACTCAATGATTTATTGCCATTTATTTATTGCCATGGTTTTCATGAGGCTATTAATTTTTTATTAATAAATACATTGTAAATGCATCATTGTTATTCATATATTTGCAGATCAACTGGAATCTAGGATGATCTCCTTTTTCTCCTGAATGAAGAGCTTACTAGGATTCAGTTGTGTGCTCTACATATGGAGATGCGCAATACAGAGCAGTTGCTTGCATCCATGGTCTGATTCCCACAAGATTGGTTCACTTCCAGACACCAATCAAGCCCTGAAGTGCTTTGGACCAGAGTCTTTTCATGGTGATCGAATTTCTGTTAAGAAGAAGAGCGGTCAGGAGTCTGCCTTTTCAAAGCAGAATATTCATGTAAGCTCTATGTTGGGTACGCCAGTGGTCGAATTATTGGCTTTGTGTGTATTTTAAAATTGATTTGCTCTGTGGGTACCTATTATTTTCCTCACTGTGATAAACACGTTTCAGGTCCAACAGAATTTTAAATTCTTAAAAAACCTTCAAGAGATTGTGGAACTCTTCCTTCCACTGGACAAGTTAAAGCTCTCCTACACAGATGTAAACTCTGCCAAGAATTTTATTCTTAACCTTGTTACATTTTGAAGTGCTTTGGACCAGAGTCTTTTCATGGTGATCGAATTTCTGTTAAGAAGAAGAGTGGTCAGGAGTCTGCCTTTTCAAAGCAGAATATTCATGTAAGCTCTATGTTGGGTACGCCAGTGGTCGAATTATTGGCTTTGTGTGTATTTTAAAATTGATTTGCTCTGTGGGTACCTATTATTTTCCTCACTGTGATAAACACGTTTCAGGTCCAACAGAATTTTAAATTCTTAAAAAACCTTCAAGAGATTGTGGAACTCTTCCTTCCACTGGACAAGTTAAAGCTCTCCTACACAGATGTAAACTCTGCCAAGAATTTTATTCTTAACCATGTTACATTTTGTCAGTCCCATATTGATGTAAGTCTTTGATACCAGATGTTGCAATGGCAAGTACCTTCACTTGTGGTTCAACAGTTCAAGTTTATTATTCTTCAAGTTTTGAGGTGTGGTTTGTGCAGCGCCCAGATGTTTCGTTGAAGAGCGCTTTCAAAATGGGCACCATTTGTAAGTACTTGCTTCCTTTTCAATTTCACTCTATGCACTAGTTACCTTTCCAAGGAGATCCATGACCATGTTTCTTGTGAAAGTTCTTTCAAGGATCTTATTTAGAAGGC